CAGCCAGTTTGATGGCTGTTGGTGGAAGCTGCTTACAGAACAAAGGGAATTCCACCAACAGCCATCAAACTGGCTGAGAGCAGCACGGTGGCTCAGTGGTTAACACTGCTGCCTCACAGCGCCAGGGACCTGGGTTCAATTCCACCCTTGGGCGACTGTGCAAACTCCACACAGCCATTCTCCCTGTGTCTGTGCGGGTTTTCTCCTGCAGTCCAAAGATGTGCAGGCGAGGTGGATTGGCCTTGCTAAATTCCCCGTAGTGTTCAGGGATGTGCAGGTTTGGTGGATTAGTCATGCGAAATGCAAGGTTACAGGGGTAGGGTTGAGGGGGGGTTGGGTCTGGGTGGGATACTGTTCAGAGGGTCAGTGTGGACTCGAGGGGCCAAATGGCCTGCTTCCGTACTGTAGGGATTCTATCGATGAACTTTCTATGAGGTTAGTCAGCTGACAATTGCAGAAGGACTGCTTCCAATTGCGTTCCAACTTTGAACTCTATTGAGAGCCAACTTGGAAGCTGGACTATAAACTTCACCAGTTTGCCCATGTGGAAGGGTGGAGGAGCAGAGGCCGTAATCTCAATGTAAGGAGTGGACCATTTCACGTGGAGATGAGGAGGACTTTCTTCTGACGGGAATGAATCTGGGGAATTTGTTGCTGTAGAGGTTGAGTTGTATATTCGAGGCTGAGAGTGATCTTTAATCAATAAGGGAAAAGCAAGATAATGGATCTGAGGATTGTCGGATTAACTATGATCTCTTTGAATGGTAGAGTAAACATGATCAGCTCGATGACATCCTTCTGCTCCTACATCATATGGTATTCATAAGTGAGTAAACTTCCTTTGCTTCACCAGATGCTCGCTTCACCTGTTAAAGCCTCACCATCATCCAAGAAACTACAGGCCTTCCACAAAAGAGACTGTGATTTTAAGTAAATATTGCTTTGACCTCTTACGTTTCTACCCTTTCTGTGTGTAAATAAGTTATTATATTTTAATAATAAAAGGGACAGGTTATGATAATTTCATTTTACTTTAATCCTCACCAGAAACTTGCTGTTGGATTTATTTTATCATCGTACTTAGGGTAAAAGAACTCATACCTTCGACATGCCAGAGTACTGATCACAGGCAGTACAAAGGAAAACGTTGTCACAGACACAATGTGCAGAGAACTTTATGGAGAGTATCAGGCGGAAGTTTATATGCTTCATGATCTATTTGCCTGGATTAAGCAGTAGTTCACCGAGCAAGGGTGTTCCCCAGTGTCCTTGAAAGATATGCATAAAAATCTAACTATCTGTCTGGCAGAAGTGCCCCTTTTTCTGATGTAGCTTACCACTGATGTACAGTCAAGGTGATGTTTTGGCATGTGGCAGCAATGATGTTATTAATCAAGTACCAATCAAATTGAATTATTCATGTACAGCAAAGTGGGAAATTTAAAAGTGGTTTGTGTTTTGCTTTGTAAATGTTCAGTTTGTTAAATAAATGTAGTGAAGTAAATAATTGCAAAAGAAGCTGAAGTGAAGGATAAACATTTTTAAAAACATGAATTTATTCTATTATCATGAAAAAAATTGGTAGTCCATTTAACACAGAACTAGCATTTCCAGGACCATTGGGGCTGTTTAGCACTAGATTTACTGACCAACAACTTCCAAGTTTCTTCGTTATCCTGCATGTAAACGGACTCCCCAAGATGCTGCCCATCTTGTGGGAGAAATGAATGTTAATGGTGACTGTTTCCCTGTTGTTAGTGCAGCAAACTTTAATTTATTAATGAAGGCCCTGACCTAAAGACGTTTAACAATGGTGCCAATTGGCTCCTTTCTCTGCTACCCACATTTAAACATCTGGGCTTTCAGTTGCAGCAAGTTTAGGACAGTAAGTGGAGAACGGTAATAGTAGATCTACTCATTTATCCTAAAATATTTATTCAGAAGTCACACGATACCAGGTTACGGTTTAACAGGTTTATTTGAAATCACATGCTTTTGGAGCACTGCTTCTTTATCAGGGGATGGGGAGGCGATGGCCTAGTGGTATTATCACTGGACTGTTAATCCAGAGACCCAGATAATGTTCTGGGGACCCAGGTTCGAATCCCACCACGGCAGATGGTGGAATTTGAATTCAATAAATATCTGGAATTAAGGGTCTAATGATGACCGTGAATCCATTGTCGATTGTCAGAAAAACCCATCTGGATTCACTAATGCCCTTCAGGGAAGGAAACTGCCATCCTTACCTGGTCTGGCCTACATGTGACTCCAAACCCACAGCAACGTGGTTGACTCTTAACTGCCCTCTGGGCAATTAGGGTTGGGCGATAAATGCTGCCTGGCCAATGACGCCCTCATCCCATGAATGAATAAAGAAAAAAAATGCCCCTCACAATAAAGCATAACATTTTACTAGCCATCAGATTTTCTGATGAAGGGTCTAGGCCCAAAACGTCAGCCTTCCTGCTCCTCTGATGCTGCTTGGCCTGCTGTGTTCATCCAGCTCTCCACCTTGTTATCTCAGATTCTCCAGCATCTGCAGTTCCTACTATCTCTCACTCTACTAGCCTTCCTGATTACTGGCTGTACTTGCAGACTTACCTTCTGTGATTTATAAACCTGTTGGACTATAACCTGGTGTCATGTGATTTCTGACTTTGTCCATCCCAGTCCAACACCGGCACCTCCTCATCGTTAAAACTTTTATGGAAAAGGCCATTTAAGAACAGTGGTATGAGCCTGGCATTGAAGCCAATGATTTTAAGGAAGGAAGTCCTGTACTTCAATGAGCTGTCAGGGCTTGGAAAACCTTTTACATTATAATAGTTTTAGCTTTCATGCTAACCCTTTTGAATCAAACAACAAGAATTACTTACTAATTCCTACTGTCTCAGAATTACTTACTTGTCCTGCAAGTTTCTTTCACGTGCTAGGCTGACCTTTCTTGAACAAAAACTGAAATTGCTGCAAATAGCTCAGTAGGTTTGGCAGCATTGGTGGAGAGAAATCAGAGTTAACGCTTCGGGTGCAGTGACCCTTCCTCAGAGCAGATGGTAGCGAGGAACAGGTTGGTTTTTTTGTGCAGAAAATAGGGTTGGGGAAAGGGTTAAGGAGTAAATGATAGGTGGGGATAGAGCCTAAAGAGAGAGAAGAACAAAGGAGTGGACAACAATCAGCCTGGGAGAATGAATAGCTTCTGAAGGGGTCTATTAGTGGCTAACAATAGGTTGTGGGTAATAGCAGACTGTGATAACAAGGCCTGGTGTGTGGGGGTTGGGGTAGGGACATGGGAGAAGTGCTTCAAGCCCAGAAGTTTTAAATCTGGAACCTTTCTTGAATCACAGAATTGTTGCAATGCAGAATGAGACCATTCAGCCCATCATGTGTGCACTGGTTCTATTGGCACTGGGTAATCTCCTACCTTTTCCCCATATCCCTCCTCATCATTTCTATTCAAATAACCAGCCAATTCCCCTCCACATTTCCAGGCAGTGTATTCCATACCCTAACCACTCGCTGTATGAAGAAAACATTTCTTACATCACGCTTGCTTCATCTACACATCACTTTAAATCTATGCTCACTTGTTCTTTTTCCTTTTATGAGATTGAGCAACATCTCCCTATCTGCTCTATCCAGCCTACTCATGACTTTTAAAACCTCCAGCAAATCTCCTCTCAACTGCCTTCTATCCAAGGAGACCAGTCCCAGCCTGTTCAATCTATCCTTATCACTGAAGTTTCTCATCCCTAGAATTCAATCTGAATCACTTCACTACATTGTGAATTGAATTGAATTGAATTAGGTTTATTGTCATGTACTCCCATAAGTACAGTGAAAAGTTTACCAGTTACCACTTAGAGTGACATGTTAGGTACACCGGTACCTAGGTACAAGCTGTATAATATGGTGCCTACAACTGGGCACAATTGAGACGTTTTCTAAATCCTTGTTGCTCTGGAACCTCAATTACACTGTCAATTACTCCTGCTTGGTAAGGTCTGGTCATGTCAGAAATATGAGCCACTTAGGTAAATGTGTAAAAGTATAATTATTCTTCTGTATCTTGGCTCCTTCTAAGTTCTCTTGATAAAACAGCTAGATAAAATAGAATTCATAATAGCAATGTAAAAATACATTGAACACACAGGGATAAAAGTCTTCCTCAACTGGGGAAATAAAATAGGTGATAATGGATTGTCTGTTGTACACAGTGTCTGATATTCACCTCCATTGCTGTCATTGGAACTAAATAACTGCTGCTGTGTTTAATCCTGATACTTCCTGGTTTATGCCACCAATTTAGATAAAAGCCTGCCCTACAGTCCTCACAGAGTACAATGAAGAAAGTGTAGCTTATTGTTCTCCACATTAATGAAATCATTGTGTTATTTTTAATCCTGTTCTCCCACTTCTTTTGGGTTCCCCTCATCTCCGAGGTGATTCATTCCCACTCTTCTTCCCTGTTGTTTTGGAATTAATTGTTGGGAAGTATTTGAACTATTACACAGGAAATTCACCCAGCAGATTGCACTTTGTCCCGATGTGTAAATTGCTCAGCTATGTTTGTGTCAAAATCTCCAACAAACTGCAGGAAGAACACACTGACCACAAGTGACCAAGTAGCTTGTGGACTTCTGGACTTCCATCATGACTTTATTCATGCATTTAAATGCTGAGAAAGCATCTGTGTCATTAGTTTAACCAAATCAGAAGTCACACGGCACCAGGTTGTAGTCCAACAGGTTTATTTGAAATGACAAGCTTTCAGAGCGCTGCTCCTTTGTCAGGTGTAATCCTTTCCTCAGAGTAGTGCTGTGAAAGCTTGTGATTTCAAATAAACCTGTTGGACTATAACCTGGTGTCATGTGATTTCTGACTTTGTCCACCCCAGCCCAACACCGGCACCTCCACATCATTAACTTACCCAAACTGTAACATTTCAAATGTGCTATAGAGTTCTTTATCTACAAACCCACAATAGGGCCCTGTTGGTGAAGCATTTGAGAGTAAGTATTGGTGACTCTCGTTTGCGTTTGTTTTCTTTTCAATTTGTTCATGGGATGTGGGTGTTACTGGCTAGGACGACAGTTATTGTCTGTCCCTAATTGCCCAGAGGCCAGTTAAGAGACAACCACATTGATGTGGGTTTGGAGTCACATTGTAGGCCAGATCAGGTAAAGATGGCAGATTTCCTTCCCTAAGGGGCATTAGTGAACCAGGTGGGTTTTTATGACAATTGACAGTTGTTACATATTTCCCCTGAGGTCGGCTCTTTGGTATTGGAATCAAATTTTTGTTTAACCATTCACAGGATGAGGGCATCACTGGCTGGACTGCCATTTTTTACCCATCCCTAGTTATCTAGAGGGCAGTTAAGGGTCTAAGATAACAAGGTGTAGAGTGGGATGAACACAGCAGGCCAAGCAGCATCAGAGGAGCAGGAAAGCTGACATTTCGGGTCTGGACCCTTTTTCAGAAATGAAGAAATTAAGGGTCTACCACATTGCCGTGGGTCTGGAGTCAGATGTAGGTAAGGATGGCAGTTTCCTTCCCTAAACGACATCGGTGAATCAGATGAGTTTTTCCCGAGAATCGACACTGGATTCATGGTCCTCATCAGACACTTAATTCCAGTTTTTCATGGAATTCAAATTCCACCATCTGCCATGTTGGGATGCAAACCTGGGTCCCTGCATTAACAGTCCAGTGATAATACCACTAGGCCATTTCCTCCCTGAGGCATCATCTGCCAGGGTGGGATTTGAATCCGAGTCCCCTGGGGTTCTGAATGACTAGCCCAGTGATGTTACCATGATGCCACTGCCTTCCCCCCCGCCCCCCCAACCATTTTTATATCCCAGAACATGCTAATTCACAAATATATTAATTGCGTATATTTCTCACGGTAATTTGAGAATTCAGTGAGGACAAAAGATTATGAAAAGTTGACAACAAGTTTTCTGTTTGATTCTGTTTAGGCCTAATAATGGGACTAATCCTCCGCTATACCATTCCGTCCCCCGACCCTGAAAGCAGCATTGTGCACAGATGTGAGGATGTGACCTCTAACCCTGGGATCTTGCTGCTGAATGTTACAGACCGCTTGTACGAGTATGAGTACAAGCGTGAGATTGCCAAACACAACGTGAATAATCGACAGGGGAATGAAATACTTCGGAAGGTAAGGCCACAATGCAAGACCCACTATACATTTGGAAAGTACAGTTAAACTGCAAATGACCATATTTGATCCAGTGTATTCTGTATGTAGAAAAGTGGTCGTCACAGAATTCTGTTGATGTTACAACCTGACAGCCGTTGCCTGGGATGGAGTATTTCGGCGACAAAGAGAGGCTGGATAAGCTTGGGTCATTTTCTTTGGAGCAGTGAAGGTTGAGGGAGGATCCTGCTAGAGATGTATAAGATTATGGGGACAGGGTGAATAGAAAGCAGCTGTTCCCTTTGGTTGAGGGGACAATACTTAGGGGACGTGATTTTAAAGCAAAAGGCAGGAGGTTCAGAGAGAATTTGAGGAAAACCCCAGAGGGTGGTGGGAATCTGGAATGCGCTGCCTGGGAAGGTAGTTGAGGCAGGGAAATCTCACCGTTGATAATTATTTAGATGAGCACTTGAAGGGTCATAACTTTCAAGGATCTGGGCATAGTGCTGGAAAGTGGGATTCGTGTAGATAGTGAGTTTTTGGGGGTATAGATTTAATGGGCAAACAAGCCTCTTCTGTACTGTATGATTCTAGAGTCCAAATCAGAAACTCCAAACTTTAATGAAATTTTCCTTGCTGTAGCTGCAGTGCACAAACTGCACTGTAGTCTTGCTGTCCTGTGTGACTCACATTGCAATCATATGGAGGTTTCTTAGACTGTTCTTATTCATCTCATTAGAGATCTTGCCTGTGTGCATATTCTGGCCTGCAAAACGTGATGCTTTTTGGCAAATTTCTGTCAGACATTTTCCCTATTATAAATATATTTTAAAATCAGCTTTCCACTGTCAACTTATTGCTCTGGTTGTAATAATCAGGTCACTGGATTGCTACAACTTTCTCTCATTGCTTTCGAACATTGTTTTTCTCCAACTGACATTTCCTATCTCTAAAATAAAGTCGAAAGACAAACATTATAAGCTATGATTGAAGATATTCTAGCAGGGCACTTGGATGATTTCAAAATAATCAGGCAGAGCCAACATATTTTTTTAAAGGGAAATTGAATTTAACAACACAGCACGGGAAACAGGCCATTCGGCCCACCAAGCCTGCACTGATTCCTATTCCTTATTTAGACCCACTACTTATTGCCCATGCACTATTTCTAAATCTCTGTTCACCTCCCGAACTAATTTATTGGATTTCTTCGAAGAGGTAGCTTGTGTTGTAGATAAAGGAGAACCAGTCGAAGTAGGACACTTAGATTTCCAGAAATCATTTGATAGGGACCTAGATCAAAGCTTATTGCAGAAGCTAAAAGCTCACAGTGTTGATGTTTAATATTGGCATGGATAGAATATTGGCTGGGTGACAGGATCCACCAAGTGGGAATAAATAGGTCTTTTTCAGGCTAGCAGATTGTCATATGTCATATGCCACAGGGGTCATTGCTTGGGCCTCAACTCATTACAATTTATATTAACAAGTTGGATGAAAGGACCAGTGGTACAGGAACTAAGTTTACAGATGACACAAACGTAGGTAGGAAAGTGATTTGTGAAGTGGCTATGATGAGCCTACAAAGAGATATGTGAATGAGCAAAGATCTGGCAAAAGGAGTACAATATGGGGAATTGTGAAATGGTCCTTTTTGGCAGAAAGAATAAAAACAAGCATATTATCTTAATGGTGAGAGGCTGCAGAATGATCTGGATATCATAATGCATGAACTGTAAAAGGTTAGTCTACAGGTACAGCAAGCAATCAGAAAGCTAATAAAATGTTCTGTTTTATTGTGAGGGGAATTGAATACCAAAGTAGAGAGGTTATGCTTGAATTAAACAGGGCATTGCTGAGATTATATCTAAAGTGCTGTGTACCGTAATAGTCACTGCACTTACAGAAGAACATAAATGCATTGGAAACAGTTCAGAGAAGGTTTACTAGATTAATACTTGGAATCAACAGGTTGCCATATGAGGCAAGGCTAGACAGGCTGGGCCTATATCCTCTGGAGTTTAGAAGAGTCAGAGGTGACTTAATTGAAACATATCAGATCCTGAGGAGACATGACCGGGTGGATATGGAAAAGGATGTTTCCTTTTGTGGAAGAATCTAGAACTAAGTGATTGCTTTAAATGGGCACCCCCTTACTTTATAAACAAAGATGAGGATTTTTCTTTTCTCTGAGGGTTAAGAGTCTTTGGAAGCAAAAGTGGGAATTCCTGGAGAAACTCAGCTGGTCAGGCAACATCTTTGGAGAGAAAGCAGAGTTAACGTATTAGGACCAGTGTTTCTCCTTCAGCACTCTGAGTTCTGAAGAAGAGTCAGTGGACTCAACATTTAACTGTGCTTTCTTACCACAAACGCTGCCAGATCTGCTGAGATTTTATTGTTTTGTTTGTCTTCCAGCATCCACAGTTCATACTTTTTTTTGTTTTAGAGTCTTTGGAATTCCCTTCCTCAAAAGACAGCAGTTGCAGAATCTTTAAATATTGTTCCGGGCAGAGGTCGAGAGATTCCTGATGGCAGACAGGGTGAAAGATTATTGGGGGATACACAGAACTGTACTGTGGAGTTGGTGTTTAAAATCAGATCAGCCATGATATTATTGAAAGGCAAAGCAGGCTTAAAGGGCTGAGTAGCCTACTCTTGTTCCTTATTGATATGTTGGTAAATAAAACAACGCTGCTCAAGAATTACGTTATTCATAGTTGTATGATCCTTTACATTGTCTTTTGTGTTCTTCTTCGTGATTATAAGTTCTACTTAAAATGTTGAGCTTCTCATAGAAGTCTTGACTAGGCGTGATTAATATTGCCCAGATCAATGCCTCGATGTGCTCAATCTGGATGGAATTATCTAAACATGTGCATGCTTTCTAACTTAATGAGATAAGTACGGTGGCTCAGTGGTTCGCACTGCTGCCTCACAGCACAGGATTCGATTCCACCCTTGGGCGACTGCCTGTGTGGAGTTTGCACATTCTCCCTGTGTCTGTGTGGGTTTCCACCAGGTGCTCTGGTTTCCTCCCACTGTCCAAAGATGTGCAGGTTAGATGCATTAGCCATGGGAAATGCAGGGTTACAGGGTTAGCGTTGGGTCTGGGAGGGATGCTCTTTGGAAGGTCAGTGTAGACTCGAGCCAAACAGGGATTCTGTGATTCAGATGGAGAAATAGAAAATTGTTCTTTTAACCCAAAATGTTTTCAATAAAATTATTTGTTAAGGGTCAATCAATCTCAGGGGCCTTCATTGTAATAACATGTCTTTTATAATATGCCTGTGAGTGAGTGATTAAACCGTTAAACTAAGTAAGAGATTAGGATGAAAGGGCATTGAGAGAGGAATTCCTTTCTCTCTTAAATTCAGATTTACATCATTGACAGTTTTTTTTTGCTTTTGTTGTCTTGTGTTGCTCAACTAATTCTCAAATTAGTTTTGTTGTCGGTTGGAAAAAGGGGAATTTTGCATGTTGACTGCCACAGTGTAATTGCCAACTCTATCCATTAGCTGTTTGTGTGGAGTGAGCTTTAGTTTCTTTTTTCAATGTTCATATGCCCATAGTGAAAACTCCTTGGATCATCCTCCTGGTTTAGATATTTACTTTTCTCGGTTAAATGCTTGTGTGTGTACGCTAATGTTTTACCACAGGAATACTTGGCATTTTTCCAGTGAGCATGATTGGACTCCTGTTGGATAGAATACCTCATGGGTAGCAATATTTGAGAAGGCAAGAGCTCAACGCAGTTTCAGACACTGTCCAAACACTTCAAAAATTCTTTCAGAGATAGTAGGAACTGCAGATGCTGGAGAATCTGAGATAACAAGGTGTAGAGCTGGATGAACACAGCAGGCCAAGCA